ATTAGATATCATTGAGTATTATTGTTGTACTGTATCTTGTTTCGCTGCTACTAATCCGTGTTGTTAGAGGCTTAAGAAATTTGCTAGTGGTTGATATCAGCTGAATTAACACATATGATATTGTATAGTATTACGAGAAAAAATGCTCTGTTCTGGTATAGTATTGCACTTGTTAAGTTTCTCCTGAAATCAGGGAGGATTTCAATAGAATTGTCAAAAATGATGTGCATTTTTTGTGAGATTTTGCCAGACTTCTCTGCTTGTAGTTAATGAAAATAAGTAAAAACTCTGCTGGCACACTGCAGACAAGCTTTCTGTTGGCTGGGGTTCAGCAGCCTGTCTGTCCCTCAAACCTTGCTTTATGGCCGTTGCCTCTAATTCAATCTGTTTATGACAAGTACTGTGAAGGTACCATAAAATCTCTCTGGTGTTATTATGTGTGGAAGACCAACATCTTTGAGAAGTCGTGCTTGGCTGAGGTGCGGGGTGGTGGGCAGGCATGTCTGCTTCAGTTTCAAGGGAACAGTGTAGGTGAAATGCAAATGAGCTGCCTTTCTAAAACGGGGCAAGTCTGCAATATATCTGCTTCCAAGCTGTATTTTGAAACTGTAGACAGAAATATGTATTTGTAACCATTACCATTCCCCTGTTTTCATTCAAAATGCAAACACGCAGAATTAAATTATTTCACTGATTTTACCGCCCAAACTGAGACACTGAAGCGAGATATTGATATGATAAAAAATCCTTGCTAATGTAGGTCATTGCATCTGTTGATATGCTGTAACATGTTTGATCACCATTATATGCTGCAAAAATTAGGAGCTGTGATTGTCCCATCTTTAAAGTGACAGATGATGGTCTGTGAGATATGTGGAGGTTATGAGCGTTCACACAGATATGGATGCATATATATGCTTATGAATATAAAAGATATACAATGTTGTGAAATAAAATATGAAGAAGGTTAAGCTTGGAATGACCACAGGCACAATGAAATCACAAGTGAATTATGAGTACTGATAAAACTTTTATGCAACACCATATTATCATGTCTTCTGCATCTACTGTGTCTTCAATAGAAAGTCTACTTTAGAAATGTGCACACCATTTAAAAATTAGATGATAGTATTTGGTGTGCCCTTTCATCTGTGAAAGCCAGATCCCCTTTCTATCAGTCCATCTGGAAAGGCCCTAAAAGGAAAGATAATATATATTTCAGAAATCTGTTATCTAAGATAGCATTACTTTTCTAGCCACTAAATGTTCCATTTATATGGTACTGCACTACAGAATTATCAGGAGCTATCAGCTGGAAACCTCTTCCTCTTTAGAGGATCCTGTATTTGGAAACTCTTTGAGAACCCATGTTCTTGAGGGGTTGCATGATGTTTTGCCATTGTATCATGACACCATCTTTGGTGTTATACAGTGGTGCACTCTAATCCAGTTCTCTGAGCTCCTTCTATATCCCATAGAAGCCTAAGAGGGAGCAATATTCATGTTCCTTGGTTACATTTCCCACTGTTACTTTCTTGTTGGTAGTGTAGATAGCATACCTAGATTTGCTTGTCTATTGAGGGATCTTGTAATGTATGTAAGAGCTCTTACATGTGCGACGCTTGCTTTCTTGGTGTGTTCTGAATGTTTTTGAAATCCACTTAGTAAACATGGGTATGATTTCCCACACTTATTTTTTTCATTAGCACAAGAGCCTGTGGATATTTCTAAGTTTTTGCAGCAGGATACTCTAACAAGTTTATTTGTGTTACCAAGAATCACCTCTAACTCCCATGTCATATGTTAGGACCCAAAATCTGTTTTGCTCCTGTGTCCTGCTTTCTGTTGTGAGCTTCACACCTCTTTTTTCTAGCACCATCTTGGGATTATCAGTTCCAGAACTCTGACGATGAGGCTGATGTGCCTACCAAGATTCACAAGTGCCAGGGAGGATTAACAGCGATGTTGAAGTTGTATCTAATAAATTCCTGTATCCTGTTTAGGAAAACACTGCTCCCAAATTAAGGACCCATTGCATCAGCATAATTGCAGTGTCTGATGCGTCAAGTGTATTTTCCTAGTGGAATTACTTAGAGTAGAAATTAGGACTTGAATGTACATTTTGACACTGTTTCTAAATTTAGCTTAATGCAGCGTCACTAAGAGCAGAGTGATATAAGTTACAAACTCCTTGACTTGAGTCACTTGGTGAAGCTTCCACAAATGACAGTATACCAAATGGCTGGGAGGAAAACCACTTATTGATAATACTGCTTCTCAGGAGTGCTTTTGTTTTTATATGTCTATTTTATCAGCTTCCCATACCTTGTGCTTTGGTATTTTTTTATTGTAAAAGTTTGAATACACATAGGTGGCTTTCACAGGATGCTGTTTACTTACGCAGGTAGCCGCACTTTTCAGTTTAACTGGCTTCCATTGTAAATTGTTAGTGATCCAGTGGTGCATTATATAAGTTTACACTGCAATACATTACTCAGTTTCAGCAATCTCCTCAACCCTGTACAGGACTTCTAAACTGTTTCAGTCTTTGGCGTTGCTAAGCAATATTCTGTTACTGTTCAATGTCGTAACTATTTTCAATTTCAGAGGTTGCTGCGATCTGTAATGTTTCCGTTTTGTTTTACTAGGGATCTTGAAAAAGCCCCGTTGTTACATAAGGGTACAATCAACTGTTTTGGCAAGAAGTTGTTAAACTTTTAGTGCAGATCTTCAGAATAGGTCTAGAATCTCATCTCTCTGGATTCCTCAAACTTGATTTGAGGACTTGAGATCCTCAGGCTTGGCTTCTGGAAAAAAGAAAAAAAAAAAAAAAAGTGTAATAACAAGTAGTAAAGTCCATCTCTTCTGGCATGAAAGTAAGCTCTCACATTACTGCTGTAGGTATTTAAGTTGTATAGGGTATCTTACTTAAATGAAATTACTTGGGCAGTTCACACCTCAGTAAGCTGTAGCTTCCAGGTTTCTCTACATACATACAATATTTCTGTCAGCTATATTTCATGCCCTTTCAAAGGTTTTTACACATCTATGATAGCAGATATTTAAAGTTTGAAATCTGACAGAGATGCATCTGGAAATGAGCATTGTGAAATCTTATTTTTCAGTGAATTTTCTCTTAGAATGTAATTTACAAATCTAGGTGCTATATAGAATTCATAAAGACAAGTATGCAATTTAGTGTGCTATTCAGTAGGATGGTGTCTTTACCTCTGGATAAGGATGTGCCATTTCCTCCCATATCTTTATCTCACCATTGCTATTTCTTAACCAGGTTGTTTTTTAATATATAATTACTATTAATATA